GAAAAAGTGGTCAGTGCGGATTCTGCTAGCTAGAAAGGCACAATTTATGTCAGCTTTCACGCAAGAGAAATTCTGCCCATGAAGAGAGCCAACCAAACAGATGTTCTCTACTCAAAGAGCCAGAGGAAGCCACTGACTTGTAAAAGGAGAAAAATATAATGGGTTAAAGGGTGAAATCAATACATTAAGCATGTGTGATGAATGAGGAGACCACAAGAGTAGCCACAGTGAGTGTGGATTGAAGAGTAGCTTCGCCAGTAAGCTGGGACGCCGGCAGAAGGAATGCCTGCACAGGACTGGCAACGGGCAGCCAAAAAAAGCCACTCCTCATTGTTCTCCATCTCCTGTCCTTACTCGCTGCTTCATTTTCAAGCTCTGTCCCAAGGGGCCTGCTATTCATCGACAGCTCAGGCAGGAATGAGCAGAAAAATACAAGCCCACTACCAGAGCGTCATGGAGATCATTCTCCCTGTCCGGGGTAACAGATGCATACGCTACGCTTTTAAAGCAGCCTCCGTGAGCAGAGTAAAGGTATTCGCTTAAAGTAAAAAAAAAAAAAAAGAGAGAGAGGAGTAGAAGCAGTAAGGAAAAGGCAACAGCCAGACAACACATCATGCATCGCTAAGGGACGTCTGTCTGCCTGCAAAAACACTCCTTTCTTCCAGGCACTGAATTGTTGCTTGCCTCGGATAATTGAAATAAATGACAGGGAAAGGATGCCAGAACTGCACTGCAGTCTTGAAGGCAATTACTCAGCTATGCTAAAGAGTGCAGCTGCAGCGTGGACACACAGCCTGGCTAATCTTCGCATTCGCCTTCGCGCTAAGCTCTGCTTTCCTCGCATGACAGCATCTAGCTCACCATTAAAGCAAGAAGTTAAGACATATCACCCCAACTTCAAGGCCTAATTGATTTGCAGTTCAAACGGACATTCCATATGCTCAACTGCATGTTAGATCTCAATCAGAGGCAGGATAAATGTTATGAGGGAACAGGATCTAAATACATCTCAAATTATAAATGCTTGCATGGAACACCAGAAAAGAATATGTAAACACTATTTCTGTTTATAGAGCTATTTTGGGAAGGCATTTTCCCTGGGATACAAAGTGCAGAGGACCTGAACCGGAGAGCTTAAGCCCTTAAACCACATGGTAAGATGATCCAAGCACAACACAACCAAGGTATCTGTGCACCCATTCAAAGGAAACGTTGTGGGATGATATTACTAAGTGCCAAAAATAACCCGACGAGCAGGTACTTATAACCAGGTTTATAATACCTAAGGTTAGGTTCTCTAAGCCTACTTTCATAGCACACAACACCAACATAGGAAAATTAAAATGGTCACGTACACATGAAACCAGCATTCCTCTTCTAGAGCCAAGTCATTCAGAAAAGTCAGTTTAGATTTAATTCCATAAAACAGGTAATACTGAGACAACTATATAAAACATATATGGACCATTTATGATCCACTATGTACATATAAAACAGCTAATACCATTTTTTACCAATTAATAGCAAAACACTATAGTCCTCTTGTAGGAAAGTCTGCTGTTAACCTGAAGCTAGAGAACTGTGGCTGGAATTAACTGAAATGTGTTGAGATGAAGTGGGCAGCCAGGAGAGTGACAGCAGGTGGCTGACAGACATGATTTGATAAATGTCTAATTTGGCAAAAAAAAACGGGAAAAAAAACTAGGAAATATTAGAAAATCGGGCTGAGCAATATGTTAATATCATTAATAAAAAACAAGTAAGTCTTTATAGGCTTTAAGCTACACATAAAGCTAATTCATAAATTTTTTATACATCTTGCTTTAAGTTCAGCCTTCCAGTTGATATGTAGTTATGGAAAATGGGTAAAAAGAATAAACGAAACATCTTAAACACAGCTATGCAGAACGCAATGCATTCATATCAACTAAACGACAATGTCCAAAGAATTAAAGTGTGAACCAATTTAATCAGACAGCTCACAAGCCAATTAGAAATCTATTATCATGTAGCTAGCTTTCTCCTAATTAGGATGAATGCTACTTTATCGATTAGTTATTTTAGAAGCTAAAATGAATTTCCTACCATACACTCATGCGTGTTGGACAGAGTAAGTGAGCACAGTCCACTGAAACACAGCTTATTTGCTCTACCCTCACTACTGTGTATTATGTATATTCAGCATCACTACAAATTCACTAGTGAACATTACATCTATACCCTGAAAGTTGAACACAGCTGACCGAATGAATGAGTGGCTTAATTTAGCTGTGTTTGTCGTGTTGCTGCATCTCTCTTTTTGGGACATAACTTTCATTATCGTTTTTTGGAGGGAGGGGGGAATTCAAGTAAATGGAGTAAAGGCACAGTTACCATTTTCTTTTATACCACTATACCAGAAAACTCTCAACCTCTTTGTACATGTGCCTAACTTCCCAGGAGAAATGCATCACTTTCTGCTATCAATTACCATTTGTCAGGTAAAGGAAAATATGTAAGATGCTTGTGGCATCATTTAAGTGTTAAAAAGTAGCATTCAATACAGTAAAAATAAGGCAAGTGCAGTCATAAAATGAAACTGATGATTGACAGACACTTGGCCTGTCTTAAAGGGCATTCAGGTGCTTTTTAGGCGAGGAGAAGGCGTCGATGCGGCATGATTCAGAGCCAAGTCATTAAGCCCAGCCCAATCCCTTGAGAAAACATATTTTGTTCAGTACTTCAGAGCTTCAATACCCATTCAACACGGCCTAATGATAGACACACGGCTCTTCAGAGCAGGATCTGAGGCAGTGTTACCAATGCTCTCTTCATAATAAACTTCAGCACATAATATAATTCATTTAGGTTCAGTACCATGTGCTACCCAACGGCACTACAATGCACCTCACCGATGAGCCAATCTTAAGTGTGTATTCACCTAGATAAACCTTCACGCACAAACTATCAACAGCTAATGCCCTAACTTGTTGCTACACACAAGCTCTGGACAGGTGACTATATACATTTCAATTGGTGGCAGCATTTAAAAAAATAATCATTGAATCTAAATTTGGACTAAGAACATTCATATTGTGCCACTTTTCTGAGCTTCTGTGGTTTTAGGATTGAAGCCGTAACATATAATATGTGTGCATGTGTGCATGGACACTGTCTGGGTCACCTTGTCTTGGGCAGATTTACCGTCTCTGCTGGTTGCCTGGCCCAGGCGTGGAGGCCAAGACCACAGCACTGCTAAGCACAGCAGCTGCCCTGCTGAAGGGCACCAGTCAGATACGTTACCTTCCAGCCGCAGGCTTCAGTCGCTCTCCTTGACAGGCGGATTGAGAAAGCTGCCCGATTCCAGCATGGGGACTAGATCCCAAGCATGGAGTCAGACGCAGCCTGGAAGACCAAGAACTCCCCCAGCCGGCTGACCCCCTCAGCTCTAGTGCGGCCAGGCCTGGGGTCAGTGAGCGACCTCACTCTACGCCCTACGTTTCTGTCGACTGAAGCGTTTGTAAATGACCCAGAGAAAAACCGCAGGGCAGAGGAGAGACTGACACTAGATCGCTTCCAAGTTCAGTAGCAGCAAGGGCGTCACAAGGAGTGACACAGGAAGTGATACAGGGCCATCAGGTCCCCACAAACAAGGGGAAGCAGGAGGCAGTCGCACTGCTCTGACAGCTTAAATCCAGTTGTGAATACTGCAGCTCGACAGGCACCAAGGACAACATTTACACTGCACAGGGCTGCTTTAAACGACTGTGTGTGTGTGTGTGTTTCACAAGACAGCGAGACAAAGGGTGAGAGTGTTCGTGTGTGTTTGTGATTATGAAGACAAGCTCTCTTACTGCAGCGTTAAAAAGGCCAAAGCCATGTGTTTTTTAGAAGCACCTTCCCTCCCAACTGGCTAAACACAAACAGACACCATCTGCTGACATGCACTCGCTTCGCAGGGCTGTGACTACAAATCCCAACTAGCAGAATTCCAAAGTGATGCTCCCAGCGATGGACTTCCACAAACTCCAGAGACTAATTATACAGAGGAAGGTCTCAGTAAATCACTGCAAACAGGAAAGCCTGAAAAACCAGCCAGGGGAAAAAACAAACAAAAAAAAAACATATGAAGACAAACTCTTTAAAGTATAATAATAGGATGATGCAGCTTGGTCCCCAGCCACTCAGCTCCAAAGCAATAGGTCGCCGTGTCCCTGAATACAAGCATTAATTACTGCGATGCCATCAATCTTCCAGCCTTGAAAAATCACACCATCGCTCAATTGAACTGAACTGATCCAGGCAAGCTGTTTACTTAACACATTTCTCAAAACTGCAAGTAATATATTAGGGGGAAGAAAAACAATATTCCAGCCTGTACCTATAGAAGAAGCAGTCACAGCAGACCAGAACACCCATGCAAGCTGCAGAGATGGCGGGACACAGCCGGGACCACTCCGTCGTCCCGCACTGCCTATCGCGACTCCTTCGGCTGTGTTTAGAGGAGATGCGGCGCACGTCGGTGAACGGAACTCCGGCACGGCACCCTCCGGGGGAACCTTCCTCTCGGCGGTCAGCAGCAGCCGCAAGGTTGGAGTGAGAGATACAGAAGTGCCGTCACCAGAGCATACACCTGCACAGGGGCTGGCGGGGGGGGGGGGCTCACCACGTCACAGGGACTGCTGCCGCTCTCCCCTCCCCTCATGTTCCCAAACGCCCTCTCTCTCTCTCCCCCTCCCTTGCTCTTTCAAAGCAGAAAGATTAGCTTAGCAAATGTACTTGCATAAATATACTGCTGACTATAAAACTGGATGTACTGCATCATGGGGGGGGGGGCACTTTTGTTCTTTTATTTTTCATGTCTACATGAGGACCATGTGCTTTGTGAAATTGTCCCCTCTTGCCTCCTCCTGTGGTTCCTAAAATCATTAAGAGAATCAGTTTTGGAAGTGTCATTTATTCATAACTAACCTTCACAGCTGATGTGTTGGCAGCAAACATCATGTGACTGATATGAACATGAGACCGGTGGTGGGGGGAGGCACACGAGTCAGAGTACGGGAATGACCCCTGAATGAGAGAGAGCAGCAGCACAGGGTACAGTGTGTCTCAGCACTGCAGTAGCACAGCAGCAAAGCGTGTGACCTTAGAGGGAACAGCCTAGAGCCAGAGGGAAGCCTTGAAAGAAAGTTCCGGAAGCAGCGGTCATGATGAAGCAGGATCTCCCAGGTACACTGGGGAGCAGAGACAACTGCAGAGTGGCTTCACAGCACTGGCGGCCATGCTGTGATGTTCAGTCAGTCATAGCGGCAGTAGCATTATTCAATGAAACAGAGTAAAATAACATACATGCTATGAAGTTCCAGAAAATACCACTAATGTTTCTGCATGCTTGTTTGTCAGGTTACGAAGCTCAATGCGAGCATTTGCCCTGCGTGGCTGCATATTCCCACTTGGTAAGAGGTTACCTCTCAACAATGACTTTCATGATCTGTGCAATTAGTCTATCTGCCTGAGGCAGCAGGAAATGCAGGATTCTTGCTTTGTCTGGATTCCCACAATTAACTGGCTGGACGGGGATGACAAATTACAGATTACAACTGCAGGGTGCTATTATGGGGTTTTAAGATAACATGTAATCATGCTATTAGGCCCTATCACGCGATGCTTTAAAGCCATAATTAACCAGAAAACAGAACGTATGGTATATCATCACTAAATAAAGGCATAAAAGCATGATGCAGAAAATGCACTTAGGGTCAAATCCTTATAAATTAGGGCATGGTGAAAAATATTGTCAATTTTATCAATTTTGTCTTATGTACATGTCTAGATTTTACACCCATGTGTCAAACATAAAACATCTTGTGTGTAACATATGTACAGGGAAGCACATAACTGGTATGAATGTACGCATTAAAATTTAAAAGATAAATGTTTGGCAATCGATTGTTGTAACAGTGCAAATGCGTACTTCATGTACATTTGCGCTGATATAACAAGGGCTGCACAATTCTGGAAAAAATGTGAATTGTGGTTCTTTTGCTTAGAATTGAGATTCTCTGTAACGTTTTTTTTTCTAGCTATTGAAAAGACCAAGTTTACCTGGGACATGACTGTTTTTTGAAGAAAGGAAGATTGGCATCGGGCTAAAATACTCAGGGCTACAGCCCCAAGTGATCGGACCTAGCGACGCCCATGGCGTGGACAAGTGAAGGGACCCGAGATTTAACTGCAATATGGTCGAAAGAACTAAAGATCAGGATAGTGTAAAAATAAATATTTTGCATAATACAGTAGGACAGCACGGTATTGGAAAATTTCTAAGTATTGCATTATGATTTTATTGTAATAAATACTGGGGTATTTAGAAACAAAAAGGAGTTCAACATAAATATCTCAAAAACCCTTCTAGGAATGATTTAAATAGCAAGGACGAAAATGATTATGAATGTCTCGGAGAACGCATGCAGCGCTCATGCAAAAGCAGCGAAAGTAAACTTTAAACTGATTTTTAAACAATCTCGAAATGGAATAATCTAGCATATCATTAAAATTGCAAAACTTTATCATTTTAATGTCTATTTACAGAACTGAAAGAAAGAAAAAGCCTGACCTTAATCTAGTTGACTGTCAAAGTAAGAAATGGATGTGCATAATATACGATATTGGTATTAATATTGTACATTGTCCATCCCTTTAATATGCTACAGCCAGTTTTCTAATTCAGTACAAAATACCCGCCTCACGCTGTGATGTCATTCGCCGCCGGTACCAGTTTTTTAAACCAAAACCTTGAAGTACCGTACTTTTGGTACCAAAAGTAAGGTGCCTGGTGCGATGGAAAAGCACCCTTTAAAGAGAATGCAGAATTATGGGAGGCTTGAGACTCTCTGGGGAAAAGTAGTTTTGATTTGATCCAGCTTAGAAGAACCGTTGTAATTTAAAAATCAGATCCCATAGAGATGCGAATCAAGATTGCGGTTCTTTGCGATTAATTGTGCAGCTCTAGATATGACAGAGTGGTGGTTCTGAGGCTAGGGATCAGTTAACCTGCAATTGCTTCATCCTGGGTATGATGTTAATCTACATTCAGCCCTATGAGGAGGTCCTCCAATTTACAGGGAATAACTTGGTGGAAGGATTGGCACTCCAGCCACCGGAGGAAAAACCTCACACTGGTCCATTCGGACGAGTGTGGTGCTGAGGTATCACCCGCCACATGGCTGCACTCAGGTTCTCATCCCTGACGTGGTTTGCCGTGTGGTGGGTGCGGCAACGCGCTGTAATCAGTGCATCTCCTTACTTAGATATGACAAGAAATCACCGTGCATTATAACCTTTATATGCTAATTCGTACCTTATTTGCCATATGAAGGTCAAAAAGCACGATAATTTCTTGTATCGCAGGTATCGCTTTTAAAGGTAAATGCTTACTTGCGTACCAGTTATGTTCATGTCTACCTATGTATTACTTGTTTTTGCACAATGACCAATGAGAAACGATATTACACTAGAGTGTATGGCCTATGTATCACAGAGCTGAATCTACAATAGGGGCACTTTGAAATGAATCATGGCGAAGGGATGGCGCGGCTCCGACTTTCCACCTCCCCACTCCCCCGTGTATCCTTGCGAGAGACAGAAAACATGTTGCTTACAGGTGAGACAAACACGTGCATTAGTACCAAGGGAGCCAAGGAAAGGCAGGGCTCCATCTGTTACACTTAACAGGTAAACAGCCTTAGTTCCTGTTTTAAATTGGGCAAAGAGGACTTACTACTAAACACACATACCATGAGTTTAAAGATCAGTTATAAGTCACGCAACGCGCGAATACACGGTCTGACTTGTACGAGGAAAATGCTTTGTACATCTATGCAGGTTTACTGACATGCATATTACATTAAGTCAGAAATTAGGTCATTTTCCATTTTCTTTAGACGTTGTTTTATCAGGCGACACAAACACGATGCACACAAGTTATGGGATCTGACATGGACTAAAGCCCCAGATTGTTCAATCCGTCTCACACTGTTAATAATACAGCTTGAAAAAGCATCTCATATAAGATATCCTGCATTAACTGCTCCGATGAACACATCACATTTAAATTAATAACACTCGCAAAATATCAATGGTAGAGTACTATGCGACCGCCCGGTATTTCCCATTAAACCGGGGCTCGGTATATTGCGCCGTTTAACACCCCAAATACAGTTTATTAAAACGCTGTTTTTGTTCCTTAAAAACACCTAGCTTTCACAAAGCTCACCTGTTCAGAGTATAAGAGCCATTCTTCTTGAACCTCATGCCCGCAGACAGGAGCCGGACAGAGATCCGGAACGGAACGAGAGCGGCTCGCGTCGCGCCGCAGCGGGAATCCGGGACAGAAGCCGCCGGACGCCTAGGAGTCGAACACGGTGGAGTGGCTTATCACAAAGCACCGGAAATGGACAGCGCTTACAACGCCTGTCGGGCTACTGACGATGCCTTCCTCTCGGCAGTCTTTTGAAATACAAGGAATAGTATTTTCCGTGCGTGTCTGAGCGCCTCTGCGTAGGAGGTGCAGGCTGGGCTCCGACTGGCGGCTCTTTCTGGGGGGTTTACCCGAACTGAAACTCGCCTGCTGTGTAAAACCTTTACCCTTTGGGACCCCACTACGCAACAGTCGCTATATTTTTTATTTATATAAAAAAATAGTACTATAGTAATAGTACTATTACCATTCGTATGACAAAACACTTTAAAACCAATATTTGCTAATAATCAACTAGCTGCTATATATAGCCAGCAGAGTATAGAAAACGTTAAAACTCGTCATTTGTTTTAACAAAACATTTAATCAGTGATAAATAGTATGCATTATGATGGAGCGCTACAATACTAATTAGGCTTTATAGGCATTCGCAAACACACTTCCAGACACTTCGCTCCTTTCCACACAAGACAGATTTCAGCCCCAAAACAAACATTTATCCCTTTGCAGTCTATGGAATCATAAAATACTGTACATCCATGAAATGTATGTAAACCAGGGGTGGGGAACCTGACACGTGGTCCCGGTGTTTGTGATGGCCTCTCAATCAGCCAATGATAAAGCAGTGATTCTCAACTCCAGTCCTGGGGATCCACTGTTATTGGCTGATTGAGAGGTCATCCACAAACCCATGGAACAAGTTCCCTACCCCTGATATAAACCAACGTGGCCTGTGGCAGCATTTATGCAGAATGGACCCACCCTCCCTGTGAAACAGCCTGATAGGTATGACTCCTCATTTTGGGTTGATCAACTTTACTGATCACAGGTGTCATACTCAAGGCCAACGGACTGAATACACCGCATTCCCTCATTCTACACAGCCTACGTGAACACAAAACAAAAAATGACATTGATAAAGGTTATAATAAAGTCAGCAAGATGATCCCAGAACACAGACACATTGTTTTGAAAAATTTCACATTACAATTTTAGTAAGTAAAGAAGAAAAAGCCCACCCATTCTTTGTTTTTCCACCTAAAGGAGAGGAAGTTCTGAAGGAATCTAAATATTTGTAATATTCACAGTGACCATCAGACTCGCCATGCTGAAAATGTAACGGAATGCAAACGGCCTACTGGCAGGACTGACATTTTATAATGTATTTGGGAGATCAGTAAGGCAGCTTTAAAACCTAGCTACATAAACGCTAATGATTCACCACATCATCGAAGCCGTACCTGGATGGTGAGTTTGTGAAGACATGCCCGTCCAAAGCTGCAGATGCCCACTGTCCTGTCCAGCCAAGAAATGCGGCTGCAGACAGGATTCCAGATCTCACATATTTTACCGTATTTTCTTTATTCATCACTGCCTGGTTATTAATTGAATAAACTACACAGAATGGAGACTACCTTACTGAAAACTAAATCACAGGTGACGTTCTAAGTGCCACACTTTGATGACTGTGTATTATACTGGCAATTACATTTTGATTAGCACCATCAGACTTCCAGTAATATGGACTATTCTACTCACGCACTGATAGGACCACTTGAGACTGAACTGGGTCCAATGTGGCCCATTAACTGAAGTGCGTTTGACAGCCCTGGTTTAGCGGGATGATGTGTAGGCTTTTCCGGAAGATCGCTGTCCTTTCCATACCATATCATCATTTCTAATGTTACATTTAGACACTTGATGATCAAGAATCTAAATGTGCCAAATTTGCCATGTTTGTCCAGGTTCCAGCTGGGCAATCTGGCTGTTCCTGCAGACTTACCCAGACAGATATTGTACAGATTTAAGACACACAGCTCCTTGATTAAAAAGGACACAAAAAACCACAGGGCTTTTCCAAACACGCATATTTTTACTATAACAATTTAAGGGCCCCCATTCCTGGGGGTGTGACACACTAAGTTTTCTGCAGCTGTGAGCACAGCGATCTTACAAGGTGGCCTCGCTCTCCCAATCACGCGCAGGGCATAAGGGGGGACGAAAGCGGCATGTCCTGTGTCCCTAGCCGTGCTGAGTCATGTCCACAGAATGCCCCGACACGACACGGCCCACCCCACCCCCTGGGACTGCCTGTACCCAACCTTTCCTGATGCCTCTCGGGTCAGACTGAGGTGGACATGTTTTCCTCTGGCGGGCAACCCTGGGGATGCCGGCACCCTGAGGCGGCGAGATGATGTGAGGATTCGCGGGCACCGGCTGAAGGCCCCGCCCCCAGACCCCACACACAGCATGGGCACGTCCACACGCTCCGTGGAGCATTCCGTTAATGGGAGCTCCTGGTCGGCCGCCGCTGAACCTCCATCTCTCATTTCACTAACAGCGAGTCAGCACAATGACAAATCCCCTGAATGGCTTCTGCAGCCTTATGTAGTGCAGCGAGACAGAAGCCAGCTCAGGGCTCTGCACAGCCAGGGGGGCAATCACACCCTTATTGGCTGTGCTGTGTCACACCCTCCTCCCCCTGTTTGTTTGTTAGGGCTGTGCCATTACTCCTGGATCGGAATAGTAACGGAATGGCAGAAAGGTTCCAAGCTCATCCCTTTCTTCAAAGGAGTGTACACACACACACACACACACACACACACACAGAATATCGTTAAACTTTTGGTGCAGCTACCTGAAACCATAGTTATCTATGTGTTAAACTGTATGGAGTGCGTCATTTAACAGAAGTGAGGACTGGAAGTAGCCTTATGGACTAATGAGGTAGACCTGGCAATATCAGGGTTCAGCTACTGTGATGCAGCACATGAGCGTGTGAGCTCTGCATGCATGGAAGAACCACGGTCTGGGGTGTCTCTGCTGGTGAC